AGGACAAGAGAGAGAGAGGGAAAAAAAAGGGGGGGGGGGGAGAAAAAAAGAGAAAGTGGAAGCATGCCTCCCTCTCCTCCCGGGTAGGTGGATGATCCCAATTCACTGAGAACTCGATAGGTATCTAAACCATGGGTTCCATACTCTTTCAAAAAGGGCCATCTTATCTTGAAGGATTGCCAGCAGACTCTCATTCATCATAATCCATATCAGCTTTGGTCTTCAGAAGATGGAACTTCCAAGACCATGCAATAGAAATTCTAGCTGCCGTAAAAATCAATGTTAGTAACCGACGCACAGGCTTCGGCGCCTCCTCCACTGGTTTACCAAGTAGGGCCTGATGAGGGCTTTTCCTAAGATTCATCTAGTTGAGAGAATAAAGTTATATGTGTGTATCCAAAACCGTTGGACCTTTGGACATAACCACCAAATATGGAGCACAGTCCTTGCCTGGCCACAGAATCATCTGTGTTTTCTGTGAAACTTGCTATTAATTTTAGAAATTCATAGAACTTCAGATAGAACTTGGAAGGGTAGGAACCACTGGATTTGATTTCTGTTGGGGAAAAATTCCCAAAATGAATTCCAAGAAATGAGGGAAAATCTCTAGTTTTCACCTTTTTTAACTGCTTTTTTGAAAGATATATTTCACACACATGCTGTCCAAATGACAGTGGTCACTGAGGCAAATGTTAAAAAGGTGTCTGTCACAATGGGGTCACAGATAGCCACAAAAATCTGATAATTTGTCACTGTATTTCAAAAGTAAAACTGTTTTGGCTGAAGTGCTTAAAGTGGCTCTAAAGGCTAAAGTTTTTTCACCTTCATGCATTCAGGTCCCATCAGGATCCAGTGCTGTGCATGAGAGCAGCGGCTCTCTCTCTTCTGTCCCTCCTCACACGGTAGATCCATAACAACAGGAGCCATTTGCTCCTGCTGCTGTCAAACAAACTCTGTACCAAGGGAGTAGGGGGCAAGGAGCGAGCCTGCATGAGTGCCCCCAAAGCTTCCTATGGGGGCAGTGGATGAAGAGGAGGAGCCAGGAGCACCAGAGGGGAACTCCAAAAGAGGGGGATCGGGGTTGCTTTCTACAAAATCACTGCACAGAGCAGGTTAGTTTGACATGTTTGTTATTTTTATAAAAAAAAACTTTTACCTTTATAATACCTGTATATTTTTACGAAAGCTATTCTAATAACACCTAACTGCAGCATTCAACATACTGTATTTGGATAGTGGATATCCATTGTTTGGTGTCAATTGACATTCTAAAAGTTGTTTTAGAAATTATATTTTTATGGTTTATGGTAGTGCTGCACCGAAGTGAAAATCTTGGACCAAAACCCAAAGTTCAGGATGTACTTGGCCAAAAACAGAAACTGAAATGGACAGTTTTTAAAGAGATGTATTTTTTATATATAACTGTATTACAGTTACATAGTTAGTCTGGCTGAAAAAAGACAAAAGTCCATCCAGTTCAACCATTAAAAAAAAAAAAAAAAAAAGTTATAATCCTATACCCACAGTTGATCCAGAGGAAGACAAAAAAAACCAGCAAAGCACGATCCAATTTGCTCCTGCAGGGTAAAAAACTCCTTTCTGAGAGGCAGTTGGATATTCCCTGGATCAACTTTACCTATAAATGTTAGTATCCAGTTATATTCTGTGTATCTAAGAAAGAATCCAGGCCTTTTTTAAAGCAATCCGCTGAGCTGGCCAAAACCAACTCTTGGGGGAGTCTATTCCACATTTTCACAGCTCTTACTGTGAAGAAACCTTTCTGTGTTTGGAGATTACATTTCTTTTCCTCCAGACGTAAAGAGTGCCCCCTTGTCCTCTGTGATGACCTCAGGGTGAATAGCTCTACACCGAGTTCACTATATAAATCACTAATGTATTTATACATGTTGATCATATCCATTGGCGTCCCGAGGCAGGTGCGGGGGGTGCGGTCCGCAACCAGGTGACACCTACCGCACGGGGTGACATAGGACCCACTCCACAAAAAGGTAAGTTGTAAAGCAAGCCGACGATCGGATCCATCCTGCGGGGATCGTTGGCTTTCTTTACAACTTACCTTTTCTTAGAGTGGGTCCGGTGTCACCCTGTATAGATTGCATGCGGACGATCCTGCGGGTTGACACCGGTGTATCGGCAAGATGTGTCTCCCATGTAGATATGTCCCCCTGAAGCAACTGCGCATGTCCCGGTTTCAGGCACGATCAATTGATGATACAACTACTGCTATCATCGATTGATCGTGCCTGAAACCGGGACATGTGCAGTTATCCCGAACCCAAGAAAAGGTAAGTTGTAAAGAAAGCTGACGATCCCTGCAGGATGGATCAGATCTGTGGATTGAGCATAATGGATCGGAGTCCGATCCATTATGCTCAATCCGCAGATCCAATCCATTCTGCAGGGATCGTCGGAGGGGGTGTCACCAAGTGTTACCGCCCCGGATGACAGCAACCCTAGGGACGCCTCTGATCATATCCCCCCTTAATCTCTTCTTCTCAAGAGGAGAATAAATTCAGCTCCTCTAATCTTTCCTCATAGCTGATCTCCTCCATGCCTCTTATTAGTTTGGTTGCCCTTCTCTGTACTTTCTCCAGTTCCCCAATGTTCTTTTTGTGAATTGGTGACCAAAACTGAACTGCATATTCCAGATGAGGTGTTACTAATGATTTGTACAGGGGTAATATGATATCTCTCTCTCTGGAGTCTATACCTCTTTTAATACAAGAGAGGATTTTGCTCGCTTTAGAAACCGCAGCTTGGCATTGCATGCCATTATTAAGCTTGTGATCTACCAGAACTCCCAGATCCTTCTCCACCAAATTATATTTGACTTTTTAATTAATATCATGAATTTAAATGAATATGAATGTAAAAAATAAAATAAAATAACGTAAAATAAGTTTTATTGAAAGTAACACATAAAAATTGGACAGAAAATAAAATGAAATATATATGAAATTAAAAAAAAAATTTAAATAGAGGCGTTTTTGCATTGAAGCCAACAAAGGGCATTTTTTGCGTTGAAGTTAATGGGATGTGATTTTGCATTGAATTCAATGGGACTCGATTTTGCATTGAAGTCAAATGGGATTGTTTTTGTTTTGAAGTCAATAGAGGGTGTTTTTGCATTAAAGTCAATGGGACACGATTTTGCATTGAGGTCAACGGGACACCATGTTGCATTGAAGTAATTGGAAAGCAATATGGCATTGAAGTCAATATCATTATTGCCACCTTTTTTTTTTTCTACCCGCAAAACACAAATAACCCTATTTGCAGACAATAATTTTCAGCGGCTGATATATCGATTACTAGTTTATAGTAATACATTAGAAAAAAAACATTTAAATAAAACATATCAGGATATAAGATTAAAGCTATTTATTAATTTCCTTTTTTCTCTGCAGAGCATGGGGTTCTGCTAAATTGTTCTGCAGTTGCCATTTAATATAATTCTATTTTCTACTTTTAATAAGTAGTTTTTTTTTGTCACAAGGCTAAATTCAGGGAGCAGAATCAATAACAGAGGGAAAATTTGTTTTCATATTTAGCTGGTAATGTAGTAGCGGTGTTCTTGCAGCCTATCACATTTCTCATTTCCCTAAAATGACAATACAAATGCCCCAAAGTTGTTTATTTTAGGACATTGGATATACTGTACAGGTCAGCAGTTTACTGAACCCTCACAATGATCTTCTCTTATGTCTACTATAGTTTCATTTTAGTTTTTTAGATATGCTATTAAAAGCATTTTGTTATATGTTGTTTGTTATATGGTGTTGTCATATTTGTTATCTACATGATAAAAGGAAACAAATACCTGCCGAAAGTCCAGTTCTGTTCTGTGCATTGTGCAGTATTTTCTTGAGCAATGTAATCAGCCCTGCCCAGTTTACCTATGTAAACTACAAAACACCTCCCTCTTGTTAGACAGATGAGGTGGGAGAGGTGCTCTGTAGTCCCATCACACGCCAGGCCTAGTGTGACAAACCTACTCCTCCATTGATAAGATGTAGTGTATAGTGTTGTCACCCTAGGGCAGTAAGTGTGTAAGGGTCACCATACATGTTAAGATTGTACAGTCTGGTTATGAAAAAAGCCTGGAAAAAAGAAAATTAACACAGATATCTGTAATATATTTACATTTTTGTTCTTGGGTTTAAAAAAGATTTTATGGGCGATGTAAAATGAACAGTTTTAAAGTAGTGAATCGTTTGCAATAGTTTTTTTTTTTTTTGCTAGAAAAAATAAGCTACAGTCAGGGCAAGGTATGTGTCACAGCAATTTCACCAATTTAGAGCTCAGTCACTAAGTCTTTCCATTAGGCTCTTACAGTGAGTCAGGTGCCTATGGATTACCACACAGTGGATTAGGAACAGGTTTATAGTACAGGTTCTGGTAGAGTACGGCTTCTGATCTGTTCAGAAATAGTGTTCAGCTTTTTGGCAGTCTTCTATACTTTAACAGAAGTCCTCTGTTACAGTACTTTTTGTCTGCAGGTTCTTGGATGGTGTACCATACAGTCCAATGGTAAATCTCTATGTATACAGTTGTTGTATTACCATAAACATTTTAAGTAGGACATTGGCTGTCATTAAATAGAAAAATATGTGCTGCAACACTTAATTATAATTGCATCTGCACATATAGTTTTCTCCCCTGCCCCCCTTTAACCTCTTGCCTACAGGGCACTTATACTCCCTTCCTGCCCAGGCCAATTTCCAGCTTTCAGCACTGTCGCACTTTGAATGAAAATTTGCGCGTTCATGCAACACTGTACCCATATGACATTTTTATCATTTTTTTGTGACAGATAGAGCTTTATTTTGGTGGTATTTAATCACCTCTGGGTTTTTTATTTTTTTCTTAAAAACAAACCAAAAACCACTGAAAAATTTTGTAAATAAGTGATTTTTCTCCTTCACTGATGTGCGCTAATGAGGTTATAGTGGTGTGCACTGATAGGCTACACTGATGGACACTGATAGGTGGCACTGATGAGGAGGCACTGGTAGGTGGCACTGATGGGCATTGACAGGCATCACTGATGGGCACTGAATGGCAGCACTGATACATGGCAATGATATATGGCACTGATAGGCAGCACTGATAGGCAGCACTGATTGGCACTGATAGGCGGCACTGACTGGTACTGTTAGGCGGCACTGACTGGAACTGATAGGTGGCACTGATTGGCAACACTGATAGGTGGCACTGAATGGCATTGATAGGTGGCACTGACTGGCACTGATGGGCGACACTGAAAGGCAGCTCAGATGGGCACTGATCTGTGGCATTGATGTGCACTGGTAGGCACTGATATGTGGCATTGATGTGGCATTGATGTGGCACTGATGGGCACTGGCACGAGGCACTGATGAGCACAGACAAAAGGCACTAATGGATACTGACAGGTGTCGCTGCTGGGGCTACACTGATCAACAGGGCACACTGATCATCAGTGTTCTGATGATCAGTGTAGATGTCCCCTCCGCGGAAAGCCAAGTACCGGCTCTCCTCTCCTCTCGAGCTGTCAGCGTGACAGCTCGAGAGGAGAGAAATGCCGATAACCGGCATTTCCCTGTTTACATGTGATCAGCTGTGATTGGACACAGCTAATCACATGACTGAGCCGACATCTTTGGCTCTTTCCGTGATTGGTGATCCGCTGTGTCCAAGGGACACAGCGCACCGCCGATCGCCGCGCTGCACGCTCCCTGAGCCGCACATGCGCAGTGAGAATGGGAGGACGTCATATGACGTCCTCCCAGAATGAGAGAACCACCTTGCATCCGTCATATCATATTACTATATGGCGGGCGGGAGGTGGTTAAAGTCCCATAAATATCAGTTGATCCTGCCAGTGAAGTCCACCTACTGCAGCTTCCTGTGCTGGTGTGGCAGTGATGCTGCACTACTCCTGAATTCAGAGCAATTTCCATTCTCACACTCACTGTTTCCGCTTGTGCTACAGTGGAATGAGAAAGACTTTACAGAGGGCATGGCTATCAGCATCGGCACTGCTGATTCACTAGCCCGTAGATTGTTAATCAGCATCTGATTAACAGACACCTAGTCCTGCCCAATGCTTTTTTGATTGATAGCACTGTTTTTGTGGCTTAAATCCCCCACTGTGAGCTGCAGTGTCTGCTAGGGGAAGCATGTGAGATACAAATGAAGGAGGATTTGTCTCAGTCAGGTATAGTAAGTCAGTCAGGTATAGTAAGTTTTTTGTTTACATTACAAGACTTGTGCTGCATAAATGGCTCCAGGCTTGTACAATGTGACCTCTTTGATCATTCACAGATTTCACAAGTAGTAAGCAATGATGTCAGGAAGTGACATCTTGCTTACTACTATTCATGTGATCACTGATTGGCCACACAAATCATTGACCTGGCTCACACAGAGGTCTCATACAGCGATCAGTGTTCCACTGAGGACACATCGGGCACCGGATCTCCCAGGGAGCGCGCACAGGCAGTGAATGCAGAAGTCGTTTATAAATGGCCTCCCGCTCCTGCACTGCTCTCGTCCGGCTGTTTATGTACATGGGCCAGACGGGAAGTGGTTAATTTGCAGGGATTTCCTCTCACTTTCTGTTTGGCTATGGGACAGGAAGAGAAGGGAAATCTAAACAATGGGGCACAGATGGGAATAAAATATCTGACAGGGGTTATAACCCTCTCTTGCTCTATCCAACATGAAAAAAAATTGCCCATACTTCTACTTTAAGTTCTGTAAACAGGTTTTTTTCACAAACAAAAGAAGAATATCAAAGATGAGAAAGCCTGAAAAAATTAAAAAGTAGCCTAAAATTCTGCCTGTTGGCTTGAAAGAAAAATGCAAAATATAACATGCAATATTTACCTAACAAAAATATTTTAAACAATGCACTGACAATAATAAATAAAGAAAGCAATTATATACAAAACCGCTATAATTTTCTTCTGAATAGTCCTGGTCCGCCATTTCATTTTAAACATAGATTCAGTAGTAGCAGCAGCAGCAGGAGTCAGATATGCTTTATAAAGTTGGCTTGAAATTCATTTTTATTCTCACTCCTACTTCATTTAGCACAGGCCCTTTTCATATGTCTTTCTTCTAGTTTACCTTGATTTACAGGCACAAATTGCACTTGTCAAAAATGACATTTACATCTGTTTTGCTCATGCGCCTTTGTACTACATTGACGCCAATGGCAATACAAATGCCCAGAAATCACAGAATAATGTACTTTTCCCAACAGAAAGAAAAAAAAATGTTATAGACATCTGAGACAGTTAAATGAATTTCATTATCCACAGGCTTTAGAAATCTTTAAGTGTGTTGAAGCACAGAGAAATAGGAAGGGAACAATATTGAAGGACAAAATGGCTTTATAAAAACTGTCATCATTTAAGGTTTATTTAGAGAAAATGTTAAATGCTCCCTGCCAGTTGAATGTAACATAGGGGTGTCAAACCTTTTGACTTTCCTGGGCCACATTGAAAGAAGAGGAATTGTCTTAGGCCACACATAAAATACACTAACAATAATGATCGCTGATGAGCAGTCAGTCAGTCGTCAGTCAGATCACAAGTTAACGATCAGTGATATAGATAAATACCCCTGAGCAATGTCAATGGCCCATTCACCCACACCCATGATCCTAGTATAGCCCATACATTCAGTGGTGTATTTAGGTTTTGCGCTGCCCTAGGCAACATAAAAATCAGACGCCCCCCCTCCCCGGCAGAGAGAGAGCCTGACACCAACCAACACCAGACCCCCCATGGACAGAGCCTGACAGTGATCAACAACACCCGTGCCCCCCCTCCGAGATAGCTTTCCACTAACACCCCCCCATGGTGACAGAGAGAAAGACACTCACCTTCACAGCTCTGGACATCCCCGGGAACAACAGTTGGGCTCTGCATGCACCATCAAGCAGCCCGCAGCCTCTCTCAGATCCCACCTGGTCCCCATGCCGTATATGTTCCTTCCTCCAGGGGGCAGTGCTGCCCCCTAAAAAAATGCCGCCCTAGGCAAATGCCTTGTTTGCCTTGTGGTAAATACGCCCCTGCATACATTACCACTGTACCCAGAAATGTCAATGGCTCATCACCCACGCCTGTTATCCTAGCACCATCAATACATAACACCTGTACCCAACAATGCCAATTACCGTGCCAATTACTATGATCCTTGTATAGCCCACACATCACCAATGTACCTAGTATAGCCTATACATCACTGTGCCCAGAAATGCCAATGGCCCATCACCCACACCTATTATCCTAGTATATCCCATACATCACCCCTGTGCCCAGAAATGCCAGTGGCCCACCCCATGATCCTAACATTGCCCACACATCACGCCAAAGTCCATCACCCAAACCCATGCTCCTAGCACACCACATACATTACCACTGTACCCAGCAATACCAATGGCCAATCACAAGATCTTAGTGTACCCCCTAGAATGATCCAGGCAGCATTTACTGTACATGTCTGGCTCTAGCAGGAGTTCCTGTATTCACTGCTTCCAATGCTGTTGTAAACACGGCAGCTCTGGCATCCCTCCAGACAGGGCTACTGTTAAAAACTAAGGGGCCCCATACAGCCAACCTGACAGCTCCCCCCCAACCCCCCCCCCCCCCCCCCCCACAGTTTACTATGCTTCAGCTGTGAACGAACACAGTGTGTGATCAGTAGTAATCACTCACTGTTCATTCATGAAAGAAAGGGACTGATAAATGTGACATATTTACCAGACCCTTCCCCAACTTTCTATCCTGAAAGATCCTGTTGTGTGCTTGCAGCTGCTGGTGGGATGGAGAAGAGGGAAGCCAGCAGCACTGCCGGGTTGGGGGCACACGGGGGGCCTGGGCAGCAGGAGGAAACGTATGGAACCAGTCCTCTATATAGCTCTCTCTGCAGCAGCTGAAATCCAGCAGGAGAGAGAGGAGAAGAAGCCAGCTTTCAGCTGCAGCAGAGAGAGCATACAGAGGATCAGTTCCAGTAATTTCCCCCCTGCTGTATCGATCACCCTCCCTGCCCACATCTGATTCACCTAGATGCCTGGGCCCCATACAGGAGGACTAGTGGAACCCCTTATCCACAGCCCTGCCTCCAGACATACCTGTACCTGTCTTGTCCCTGCTGGCCACCACAACTGATGTTCTTGCATGGCAGCCCCGGAATCCCTCCAGGAATGCCCGGTCCTTATGCTTAACTCTCTTGGGCCACATGCGGCTCGCAAACCCTGATCTCTCAAGTCATCTAGTATGACATCATGTGCAGTAGTGACTTTGATTTTAATCATACAAATGTACACATGTCCTTAGGCCAGCAGAAGGGATGAGCTACAGAGTGTCTGATCCCACCTGAGCTATCCTGTCAGGAAACTAAAATTGTACTAAAGCGGACGAGGCATTACTCATCCTTTTTGTAAATGTGTGTCTGCAGAACAGGGAATCCCTCGGGTGCTTATGGTTGCCCTAGTACAGATGACAGCTTCCTGGTGGGTTCCAACTGGGATTTGAAAATGCCTGAGCTCATCCCTAGCCAGGACCAAAGATAGGTTGTAACAAATTACATGGAAACTGGTGTAACAACTCTTGACTACACATGTTCCTTTCCAGGGATGAGGCTTGAGTTTGCTACTATAGGTCTGATGTGAATCCTGTGTATCTGAGAGTGATGGCCCCTGAGAATTTATGTGCAGTTTTTTTTTTTCAAACCACAATGCACTGCATGGCCCTTCTACTATGACCAACAGGCTTTGAAGGGACCTTTTGGATTAATTGGCCCTCTCAATATAAAAAGGATTACACAGAACATCCATAGTGGCATTGTATAGGAAGCTGGTGTGGTGAAAGAGTAGGGTAAGCTCACAAACTGCAGAGGGATAGATTGGGATCAGTTAGAAAACTGTACATGAATTCTGACTGTAGCCCTTTGGGCAGCAAACCCTTTTTAAATGTTCTTATTATCGGTGAAATTTTCAATCTTTTTTTTTTTGTTTTATGGTTGATTTGAGGTCATCGGTTACTTTTAGTTGCTGTCCACCCATAGCTGCAAAGCTTGCCTTAAAAATAGGCTTTTGTTTTAGGGGAGTGGTTATTTAGTGTTTTCATTTATTTTGGGGGTATAATGTTTTTTTTCTTTTATGTTGATAGGGTTTTTATTGAACGTTAAGCAGTTTTTCTTTTCCAGAGAGGCTTCCTTTAAAAAAAAAAGTGGGCTTTTGTTTCAGGGTCATTATTTGGGGTTTTAATTTATTTGGAAGGTATATTGGTTTGCCTCTTTTTTAGGTTAAACTGCTTCTTTTTCTTTGCTGTAAGACCCCCCCTTTAAAAAAAGTGGGCTTTTGTATCAAGGGTTGTATTTTTGGGGTTTTAATGTATTTGTTTCTTTTTTATTTTATTTTTTGTTGGTAGGTCCTTTTTTTACATTTTGGGGCACTC